GACCCTAAACTCAGTGTGGGGCTGGTAATGGTGGGGGGGCTCCCTCGGTAAATTCAATTTATGCAGCCCTACCAACTCAATTTGTGCTTCCATTTGGGGGCAGAATAGAGAAGCGGCGCCACGGGATCAAGCGTCCCCCCCAGGCCCCTGCGGCTCCTCTACATATGTTCCTCTTCCCAAACCTAATAATACGCACTCAAACCAGAGCCAGGTATCTCCGTTCTGTTTTACGTACACAAACACACTGTTTCTTTTCTTTGCAGCGTGCAATTGTCTTTCACGCACTTCTGTTCTCATTGTTTCTCACTGGCTGGGATATTACCGTACTGCTTGCATTTACGCTGTAAAAAATAATTAATTGAAGTAGCTGTGGTTTACAATAAAATACTATTTCAGTTTTTCAAAAATTTCATGTTTCATATTAATGATTTGTAATATTTACTAGCAATTTCTGAGTGAAAATAGTTTCTACACCCTTTTTTTTTCAGCGTACGTTTATGAAATTTGTCAAATGCTTTTATCCAAAGCAACTTACATTGCATTTAAAGTATACAGTTTATTAATTCATGTATTCCCTGGGAATCAAACTCTTGATCTTGGCATTGCAAACACCATGCTCTACTACTTGAGCTAATATTTCAATGCTACAGCGTTCTCACATGACCTCATTATTTGCATGTTTAATTCCATTTATGTTCTTTATATAAATATTTTACGCAAAATTCAACTTTGCGTTAAAATGTCTTAAAACTTTTAACAGTGTGATCAAATAATGAATCAAGAAAATACAAAACAATTGCAGTTATTACCTCTGCTTCATTGCTCACAATGGAAAAGTCAAGTGGAGAGCATTGCATTATGAGGTGCAATATTCTGCACAGTGTGCTTTTATAATACAAATTCTATTCTATGCATACATAAAATCTACAGTATACAAACATTATGTGGCATAAATAAGTGCAGAACGGTAGCAACTCAAAGCTGTTTTTTTCTCTCTCCCAAACAAGAAGGACGGATAGTTTGTAAATATAATGAGTTGGGCAAAAAGTTTATTGTAATTTAAAATTATAAAAATAATTATAGAAATAAATTATTAAATATAATACAAAATTATATATTGAATTTTTGTTTTCAATAATATAAAAATTTTATTTAAAATAGCTAAATAAGCAACCCAAAAAACTATGAGTATCATGCTCTTCAAAATGACTCAAAAGTCTTTTTTTTACTTTTATGATGTTGGAAATTCTCAAAGGGAGTTTTTGCTGACAGAATCATGCTTGAGTAGTTCTTTCGGCCTAGGGAAATTATGACAGACAGCTCCCAAATTTGAGGTTGTCCCGAAAGAAAAGCTGCTTCCCGTTTCTGTCCATTTCGGTGTGCCTCAAAGCAACACTTTAAGCACTGAGCAGGTTCAAACTCTGATTATTTTAGGTTTTTAGGCTATGGTTTTTATTTTTAGATGACACAAAACACCAAGGTACACGTGTAGCGATCTGACCCCACGCCAGCGTGTTTACAGACCACTAGTCTCTAGATTTGCTAACAGTATGTCAGATAGACGAAGACACCGCTTTAATTCCTCACGGATTCTTACAGCCACAAGGAAATGGTGAAAATGCGGTTTGAGATGCCAACGAAAAACCACAGAGAGAGTGAGAGAGAGAAAGAGACAGATAAAGAGTGAACAGGTTTGGATGGAGTGGTTACACATACAGACAGTTAAATCCACATATATAATCGAGTGAGATCAGACAGGCTTCATCTAAATCTCCACCTCTTTTATTCATTTTGTCTGTCTCTATTTTCTCTTTTTCTCTGTTTCTTTCTCTCTCTCTCTCTCTCTTTCTCAGCCGCTTGGTCTCTTGCTCTATTTTCTCCATTCCTCTGATTGGCCACAGAGGTGCTTTTCTGCCCTCCGATTGGACGAGAACGCTCTCTCTCCTTCTCGCTCTCCCACTTTCTCTCCTTTTTCCCATAATGCCCATGGTTGGTGAGCAGGAGCTAAGGGTCTGTCCAATCATTGTCTGAGCCATCAATCAAAGCTGACGGGCCCAAGCGACATGAAAAGAAACCTCAGTGGCAGCCATTAACCGAACACCCCCCACCACCCCTCTCTCTGCCTCTCTCTCTCTCCCTCTCTCAACCCCCCGTGCTTTGTTTTCCTTTCAGCAGACAAAAACGGACTGACAAGATGGAGTGTTGGACATTAATCAAACCACCCCATGGAACCACCTCTTCCTCCTGATAATAAATAAATTCCACTCTTCTCATTGGACAGATGCTCGCATTTTCGCCCTGCTTTTCCTCCTCCTCCTCCTCGCTCGTTCACGCTCGCTCTCTCGGTTTTAAGGATCCTCATCTGCTCTCAGTCAGAGTAATTCCCCACAGATCAGAGCAGGGCAGGTGTTTGCTTCACCCTCGTCCCTCTCCAGGGGCCGTGTTGCCCTGACAACTGACCATCCCGAGCCTCTGCCGTATGCGTGTTCTGTTTGGTTTGGACCAATGGTCACCCCCTGCGCTTTAATTGAACATGCACTTCTCAGCGGGAGAACATGCAGAGAAAGGAACAGCCACAAAAACACATTCTTGCTACACGCATGACTATGAATGTCAACTGTGCTCAGACCGTTGCATCTGTACGAATGGATTTCTCAGAGTCTTGCTGGTGGAAAATCACACTCAGCCCAAGAAAATGCATATAAAAACAGCCTTTGTTGATTTGGAAACATGACAGCTGGTCTTTTCCTGTCCTACTGCCGTGACAGACAGAACAACAAGATTCCCAAGATGAGTCAAAGACTTCTAATTAAAACCGAACTTGGGTTATTGAAGAATGTGTCCGTGTTCAAAACAACAAAACACAATGCAACACAGCTGTTTGGGTTTGTATTCATCCAAACGAACCAAAACCAAGTATAAGAAAGCAACACAAAACAAAAAAACAAAACAGCTGTTTGGACTTACATAATATTATAAAAGATCAAAACAAAACACAGCATTACTGTTTGATCTTGTTTTAAACAAATGCAAGATCAAAATGAAAAAAAAGAAACAGCTGTTTCTAAACCAATCTAAACAAAACAAAAAGTATAGCAATGCAGCAAAAAAAATAAAACTACTGGTTGTATTTTGCACATATACAAAGTCAAAATCTTGTATTACACAAATGCAAGATCAAACAAAACAAGACAAGACAAGCAAAAGAAAAAACAACAGAAAAGAAACTGCAGTTTGGGCTTATATTATACATAATTAAAGAGCCAAACAAAACAAAGAAAAGCAAAAAAAAAACAGTGGTTTCAGCTTACACATGCAAAACATTCACACACAAAATGTAAAAAAAAAAAAAAAAAAAAAATTTTAAGTTATTATACATAGACAAAATCCTAACAAACCAAAAAGCATTAAAAAAAAATGTATTGTCAGTCTGCACTTATGTTCTACAACAAAGTAGAAAAAAAAATAAACCAAACTAAAAAAAGGTGGTTTGAGCTTATATTATACAGACAAAGATACAGACAAAACAAAAAGAAAACAAACAGTGGTTAGTACTTTTATTATACATAAAAATATCCAAACAAAACAAAGAAAAGCAACAGAAAAGTAAAAACGGTGGTCAAAGTTTATATATGCAAAAAAAAAATCAGACAAAATTAGTAAAAAGAAAAAAGTAAAAAGTAATTTGAGCTATTATGTATAGACACACAATCTGAACAAAACAAACCTAAACAAAACAAAAAGCAAACAAACAAACAAACAAAAAAAATCATCAGTCTACACTTCCACATTCTACAAACAAAAGATCCAGACAAAACAAAGAAGAAAAAAAATATATAATAATTTTAAAATTTTTTTTAAAAATTCCTGGTTTGCGCTTGTATTATACATACAAAAGATGCAAACAAAACAAAGCAAAGCAAAAATCAACAATTAAAGCATGTGTGAATGTAGTCCTTAATTGCAGAGTCTAATCCCTGAATGAACAATATATTTTATGACTGGGATTAAGATGATTGAATTAGACTGTTTCTGTTTGTGGAACGTTGAATAAAAGTGCAATGTCATTTAACGGCACAGAAGTACAACTGATAGATCATGATTCCGTCAGGGAGGATCGTTCCCTCCAAACAATTTTTTCCTCCCCTTGACAGGTAGAAGACAAATGAAAAGTTGAGATGGCACGTGGAGGCGTGTTAGTGAGCCGCAACGGGTACCGCGGCACCCTGCCTTGCAGGGCATTGTGGGATATGTCCTCCACCGAAGTGGCTGCCCAGATGACATATTACAGCTCTGCGGGAAACGTATGGGCCTACAGGAGGAGGCGTTTCTCCTGCGTTCTGCAAACTTTTAATATCGGTTGTCCTCCCTGCTGCTTTTACCCAGGTTCAGCGAGAGCCCCGCGGAGGGCCGAGGCGTGTTTGCGTTGGCCCCTTCAGAGAAGGATGCGAGCCCGGAGGACTCTTTAATGCTCCAACTTTCAACTTTGAAGTTTTCTTTGACTGCACAGTGAAAATATTGGCGAATGCAGCTGAAGCACTTCTCATATTCGTAAATCAACTGGAGCCTTCAGAGATCAAATGGCTGCGCCATAGCGCCGTTTGAAATATTCGCTTCCTCGCAACATTTACATCCTCACATTAGATAAAAGAAAACATTCTGGGAGAGGCCTCCATCCTGGTGGCAAATTCAAAGTGATTTACACACACAATGCGCCGCCGATAACACGACGACGCAATGAGGATGTCTGAACCTGCAGAAACAAAAGAAGCCCATTGATTTGCTGTTAGCAGATCTGATGAGTGGAAATACAGGCAGAGTCTGTAAGATGGCTGGACCGGTGAAGATATCGTCCCCAGTGCGACGCCGCTGTTTTCCCGAACCCCAATTTGTTGTATCATTGACACATAAATGGATTAGGGTCATGTATCACTGATAATGGTCTAGCCCAATGCTGGTGTGTCTGCGGTTCGGGTTGTGTGTGCGCGATAAGGCCTATTGATTATGTACCATATGCAGTTCCCACGCCGTCCTTTGTGCCATGTGTTCGGTGATGTGTTTTTTCCCCAGAAAGGGGTGGGTGCGGTGATACAGCTGGTGAATGCGGGGTTAATTTACTCACACAGCCGTTGGCCTTCAGGAGCCTGCGTGCTTCTGTCTGGAAAGGCAAAAAACGTGTGCGTTTTCGTGCAGCCGATTCGATAAGCTTCTACGAACAGAATCTGCAATCAAAACAACAACAATAAAGACGCCACACGTTCAAGACAGACAAGTCCTTTTTAATGGATATAATCACAGTGGTTTCGAAATGAGAACTGTACTGCAGCGTTTTCTGACTGATAAGGCCACAGTGAGGAGTCCGATATAAGAGGCACGTGTGTATTTCACATTACACAGAAAATATATTCACATTACATGCCGGGGCACACTTTCAACATGTGATCAACTAAAATACCACAAGTCTGAACTACATCAATCACGATGTAACCCCCCTACCAAGTGACATCCATGTCATTTTACAGGAGAGCGATGCTTAACCATCTGCCACTGTGTTCACAGCTTTAGTCTACTTGGTTTCGAAGTTTTAGCGCACGACAAACAGTGTGTGATAACGTCTGGCAGTGATGCTGGAGGTACGTCGAAGCTACTGTTTTCCATCTACTTCTAACTGTGACTCCGGGGTTCGTTTTGCAATTTCAAATCAATAAGAAGTCACAGTTTTGTGTAATCAACATGATAAAAATCATACACACATAGTTTGTCATGTACTCTACAGCCTAGACAAAACCTTTCAAATACGAACTTAAAAGAATAGTTCACTCAAAAACAGGGCGGCACGATTTGTGGGGAAAAAATTTGTTGCATTTAAAAAAATAAAAAATAAAAAAAGCTCCAGGTTTGCTGTGCGGCACAATTTGGCCCAAAATTTTAATTATAATAATAATAAATATTACACTAAAAAATGCTGGGTTAAATAGGGACAAACCCAGCAATTGGGCTGTTTTGACCCAACAGTTTGGTTAAATGTTTAACCCAACCTTCTGGGTAGTAACCCAACCGCTGGGTCAAAACAACCCAATTGCTGGGTTTGTCTCTATTTTACCCAGCACTAGGTTGTATTTAACCCAGCATTTTTTAGAGTGTAGTATTAGTAAATAAAATATTAAAATAATAACTCTTATTATTGTAATATTTCAATGCAAAATAAAATTATAGTTTTTAAATTGTATTTAAGAACTTTTTTTTATTTTATAGTACAACTGTAAAATTACAATACTAATATTTTTTGTTGTTTTAATTTCTTCTTTTTAAAATGTTAAGCTATCAAGCTTTTATTTTGACAGAAAACTGCAGCGAGCCCTTAGAGATTCTCTTGCTGACAAGTCTGTTTATAAGGGCATCTCATTACAAATTTGTGACAATGGTTGATTTCCCAAATGTATGTTATAAGCGACTCGAAGCACAGCACAAGCGGAGGTTTAATGCAAACTGAGCCGCTCTGAGAGACTGAAAACACTGGATCATGAGTTGCTCCTGTGTAAATGAACCCAGTGCTGCGCTTCACTCTGAAACTCTGCTTATTAAATTAAACTGCAGCCTTTGCGTTTTGATAATTGCACTAAGCCGGTTTTGGTTTTATTTTGATGAACCATGCAGCCTTACTCAAAAATGAAAATTCTGTCATAATTTACTCACCCTCGTGTCGTTTCAAACCACAGTAAATGAAAATTAAGTAAATGATGACAGAACTTTTTCTGAACTATCCCTTTAAGGTTAATAACAGAATTTTGTGTCGTTAAATTTGAGTTTAATTCTTCAAATAAGTATGTTCACTGGGGATGTCCAATGAAAGTCAACACTCAATGCTCAAACGTTGCTTTCTCCTTCTCAAATGAGCCCACCAATGGATCATCAGCTGGGTGTGGCCTTTTCCGAAGCCTCTTGGCCTCATTCTGAAGCTTCTGTCGTATGTAGCCCTTTATTTCCGAATCAGTCTTTCCGGGGAAGAACCGCTGCACTGTCCCTGTAGAGAATGTTTCACTGGTAATCAAAACTGCAAACTTGAGACCACAATTAATCACAAACTTCACAATGGCCTGATTGCAGTTAATGAAATGGAACTGAACGCATTCTCGAACTAACTAAAGGATGCCCGCCGTTCAGTACTTGTTACAAACAGTCCCTTATACGTACTCAGAATGGCCTGGATCTCATGTGCTGGAAGAGCTGGTTTAGGCATCCCTTGCTTGCTGTTGACGATGCCTAAGATTGAGTGAGAGGCCAGACAGTCTCTGTCGTAGAGGCTGCGCAGCAGGTCATTGGTGAGTTTCTGAGCGGTGGTCCCTGTGTTACAGCGCTCCAGGAGATCAGCAGTGATAACCTGGAGAGGAAACAAAAAAGTTGCTGTGGATGAGCTATAAAAATGAAACCGAATTAAATAATCAACAATAAATGTTATTCCTGATTAGTCAGGTCTTTCGTATGGTACAAAATGCATTACTAGAACTTAAAAACACATTTAATTTCATTTTACTGCTCTTTTAATGCAAGCATTTCTACATTGCAAAACAATGCATTTTAACAGAAAGCAATTTAATGTTGCTGTCATTGTTACACTTTAAATATTTAATAGAGAACGTGCAGGCAAGTCATTCAAATATTAGTTAAACATCAAACGGTAGTTTTAAATGAGCCACAACTGAACTTGAAATCATAAATGCAGGTAATAACATTTTTGCAGAAACAAACTGTAATTTTAAATCATGCATACTACATATTTATCCAAATAACTGTTCATACTTGGTTTGGTTTTGTCATTTTAATAATTTTGGTTGTTTAATCTGTTATGCTGCTTTTAACTGACAAATTTTCAATAAACAGGCCTATATATATTTTTCACAACATAAAATGAGTTTATACGGTAACCTGTACTTTAAAATAATTTTGGACACAATGTATACATTACTTCAATGTGCATATTGTTTGAAGGAAAGAATTGAACATGATTTTCAATTAATCAAGGAAATAACAAACAGATCAGTTACTAAAATAGTCATTAATTGCAGCCCCACAAAAAATAGTAATATAAAACAGCAACTAACGCAACTTAAAAAATAAAAAAAAACTGAACACAGGATTCTGTAAGAACTTTTGTCTAAAATGTTGTATTTATTTATTTAAAAAATATTTTTACCATTTCATATTGTTTTCTTTATTATACAATATTTTTGGACCCAATGTAAACATCACTTCACTTTTCACATCTAAAATGTAACTCTTACTTTTTGTTCGGGAAGCGTTCCATTCCGTTGAGGCATTGTTTGTGTGACCTCATACTGACCACACCCCTGCTGCTCTGAACTTGCACATTCAGCTGTTCTTCCACTAAGCACCCTTGGAGGAGAAATGTGACTGGGTGGCCTGCTTCTCTCGAGCTCCTCTGGAATGCTGGGAGTTGCAGCTTTGTGGCTGCTGCACAGCCATCTATCACTCTTCTCGATCAGCTCTTCAAGTGTCTGAGCCAACTTCCCACAAGCTATACAAAAAAAGTATGAATTTAGCCCAAAATTGTCTCACAACAAGAGGTAACCTGTTGTGTAACATGGCACACCACAGTAACACTAAATCTTTCTTTGACATGAAGTTTCCTCATGAACTTGCTGAACCTTTCCTCAAATTGAAATGATCTTGAAACATGAAATGATCTGTGAACGAGCTGGTTTTCAGTGAGCTTTCAGCTCGATGTACGTCTTTCCCTGCCACTGGAAATGCATAGCTGTAAAATAAAAAAACTAAACCCAGAAAGGACAATTTGCCACATTTCAGAAGTCCACTGCTTTACCTGTAAGGCTTCTGATTTGCTCTCGAAGGCCGTCCATCTCCCTCTGCATAGTCAACACCATGGCAATAAGCTCCGCCCTTGAACGTGATTGGAGACTTCCGAGCACCTGGAAGAAGATTATCCACGTCACATTATAAACTGAGTGGACACATGCGTTCAAACTTGTATCAGTAATTGACCAAAACTGCCCAAGATCTTTTTAAGCATGGAAAACAAGTTTTTGGAGCTGAACGAGTTTGGCTCTAAATCCTCAAAAGCATTGCACCGTAGATGTTTAGAAGTAAGAAGCTTAATTTATGCAGTGAGTTAAATTTTTGATTATTAACAAAGTAGCCCAAAAGTGGAATGTTGTGCCATTTTACCTCCATAGTAAAATCTGCACCCCTTGTTGCATCTCCAAGGGGCTTGTCAACCTCAAAAGCCTGTTTGAGAGCAAGCAAAATACATATGAAACCAGTGGTTCTAGTTTGGTTTGCAACTTCAAAATAACATTGGATAGCAATGTAAAAATGATCGTTGTGAGGTTCTTCACATTGGCAGAACCACTGGATATCCTTCTGAAGATGCCACAAATGGAAATGACATTATTAGAGATTTCATTATATATTTTAAGTGCCTCAAAACCTTTCCCTCATGATTCCTGAATGAACTGATGGCAGTCTTTTAAGTTCTTAAAATAAAGGTGCTTCACGATGCCATAGAAGAACCTTTTTGTCTAAATGGTTCCATAAAGAACCTTTAACATCTGAAGAACCTTTCTGTTTCACAAAAGGTTCTTTGTGGCAAAAGAAGGTTCTTCAGATTATAAAAAGGTAAGAAAGAGATGGTTCTTCAAAGAACCTTTGACTGAATGGTTCTTTGTGGACCCAAAAATGGTTCTTCTATGGCATCGCTTGAAGAACCTTTTGAAGCACCTTTATTTTTAAGAGTGTATTGGGGCTTCATCACATAAAAGCTCCTCAGAGAACTGATTTTCCTTTTTGAAATGCGTCCTAAAAATTCTCCAGAGGCTTTTGGCAGTATGATAATCTGAGGAAGTCCAAATGACGCCTCCAGTGTCTTCATTTTTACAGTATGTGATCCTATTATCCCTCATTAAACTAGGCTACAGATACAGCAAGTCTGGAATAAATGACTTAAAGCTCCTTAATCACATGGAAGATGCCATTTATCTTTCATATATTTTCATTATTTAGCCTATTACATTTTATTATCAAAATCTTAAAGGCTATAAATGTTAAGAATTGTCACTGGAACAGATGTTTTAATCTATTCAGCAATGCTTATCAGCTAAAAAAAAAAAACATTATTGATTCAGCAATAAAAAGGAACAGACCTTTGTTTTGAACTTAATGTAGTCAGCATTGCAAGATGAGATGTCCTCTCCATTTAGTTCTCTCCATTTTCTCCTCTTCGCCGGCTCTTGCTGAAAGACAGTCACATAATTAAAGCAAGGGAGTGCAAAACAATGACACATAGGCAACAAAAGCTTGCTGTTTACATACACCGAGGACGTGGTTCGCCCTCGCGCCGGTTTCTTCGGGTGTCTCTTCGTATCCCTCGTATCCATTGTACAGGATGCGCTTTGCTATTGTTTTTCTCCTCATCTTTCGCCCATTAGCCGTTTTCCTCGCCGAAAAGCCGTCCGGTTCTTTATCATGCCGGTCATGGCCACGCGCAGATCCGTGACAGCCTGATGACTTTCACGCTCGTGGCATTTCAATTAAAGTTAAAGACACTCTGGCGTGTCAACATCACGAGTGCGTCTTGAAACACTTTAAAACGAGTAAAATGTGTGGGAAAGGCACCCAAAAAGTTTTAACAGTGGCTGACATGTCTTAAATCTATAACAGTTTGAAGAAAAAACACATCGTAAAGGGCTCATAATCTGACATGATAGCCATAGCTAGGTCATTTTAATAATGCAAAATTCGCATCTGTTTATTCTGTACGTGAAAGTGAGATTAATTATAGACTAGTTAATAGTTAGCTATTTGTAATGATCCCTTTTGCTACTATCTGTTATTTTGCATTAGTTACTATTTTATTTAGCAGCATTGGTTTACTGGCACATCCCACAAAAAAACAGCACACTTCAGTCTCCCATGAACCTTTTAAAACATCAGAGATATAAATCCAATATTATTGTTGTGTTGCATATGTTTGATAAACTATTATCTAACATAAAATTAACCTGGCGTGAAATGTATCTAGCTTTAAACACATAAAATGTCTTTATTCCTTCTGGAAATATGGATTTTGACCTACTTGACTCTAATAGTTAAAATCATCATAATCATAGGTGTCACAGACATCATCATAACTGAATGAACTTAAATGAAATCATACCTGTCATAATCTAATTAAATATATTTAATTAGTTGTAGTACAACACTTTTTCATTATAACCAAATTATTATAAAAAAACAACAACAACATTACAAACATTTTTTTTTTAATTAAAATATCTTAATTACAAGCCCTAAACATGAACACATGTAAAATGCATTTGTCTAAAAAATACGTTGTCTAAAATAAAACAAAAACAAAACTATAAAAACCTGAAGATGTGAAATGATTTCTCCCACATTACAAGAGAGACTTTATAGGGCACTTTCTTTTTCTTACTCACTTGTTCTTTCTTTTTTTGGCTGTGTGAGCACAGATACCAGTGGGAGGTCAGGAAAGGGTTGACCCCATGCATTCCCAGGTGGCGTACAGTGAGCACTAAGTGTATCCAGAAGCACCTGAGGTTGTAAAAGAGAGACCTCTGCAGGGATGGGAGGAGGGAAGCAGCTCTGTGCTGGAACAAAGTGGATCCTGTAACTCATTAAAGCAGGCTGGGGATCACAAAAGGCCAATCAAATAGTGTCATGTGCACCAGTACTGTCTGTCTTATATGCACTGTGAATATGGGTCAGTTTAAATGACGCCTCGTTTGATCCGATCACAAGTGCTCAGACAAGATCATGTCTTTCCTGCTAGTAAAATGCTGCTCAAATGAGTTTATTTCTCAGTTATTCTCGCTTTACCTGTATTAAATAAGGTTAAGGTTCATTTCTTTTAAAACCCTTGTGTTAAGTAGTGGATGATGCCTGGCTGGTGATAGGCAGTGCTTCACTGCTGTCTGGGCAAATTAAATAGTGCTATCACAAATGTGATTTGGTCACATGCATATAATTTATAGGTTCACAAAGTGTTCAGGATGTTCCTGTTTACAACTGTATTTAGTGCTGTCGAAATGGATCTCAATACCAGAAGTAAATGAGGTTTATGTGAGTTTTTGATTAACTAACAAACTAGCACACAAAGACTCACTGTTAGGAGACACAAATGGCACCGACTACAGAATTACTTCGTTACGAAAAATAATCAATATGCTCTTACATGCTGGATGAAAGAGAACTGGCACCTTCTCTTATGACAGTGATTAGGCAAGCATGAAAGCTACACTACATTGATCCTGGTGGCCAGAGTCATTTCAGTTCAGATCGTTTGAGAACTTTGTTCTAACTTACTTGAACAAAATGACTCAGTCAACCTGCTGGATCCACCGTGACGCTCCTGGTCTGCAGAGGCCAAACATGAAGATCCGTGACAAAAGGACCACATCACAGATCACAGCAGATGTTATTACAGTCCAGACTACAAATATGACAGCAGAGCCACCATTTCTCACTCAGACAGACTGATTATTGATCTCCGCCCTGCATACTGCAGCCTCTTGAGAGGCTCCGAACCAGCATAAAGAGGAGTATTGATGATATATTGATATGCATTCTTTTATTTACTTTACCCATACGGCCTTTCACCTCTCTTCTAACAAATCAATTGCACATACAGCATAAAGCTTCTTTTCTGGGTCACAGGCTGCCATTCCCCGTTTAGTCCGAGAGCAGCTTTGAAGTCTGTCTTGTGACTGTCAGACTTGCCTATGCATGAGAATTTGTACTAAAGGACCTGATCTGAGGTCAGTCTAAAAAAATAAATAAAAAATACTGGAACCAAATGGCACCATTCATGACGCCAGTGAGCTAAACTTGGAATTGGAAGGATGTGCACCCTAACCAATTAACATATGACATGGTTGCAAATGTCTCAACGTTACTTCAATCAAAAACAGAAATTTTTTTAAAAATGTAAATAAAATAAACAACACTGTGTATTATAATTCCCTTTTGACCAGAGTAGAACAGAGAACAGAGCATGTAATAAATAATCAAAATTGTGTTAAAAAAAATTTTTTATATTTTGTATATTTTATAAACATGAAGATCCGTGACAAAAGGACCACATCACAGATCACAGCAGATGTTATTACAGTCCAGACTACAAATATGACAGCAGAGCCACCATTTCTCACTCAGACAGACTGATTATTGATCTCCGCCCTGCATACTGCAGCCTCTTGAGAGGCTCCGAACCAGCATAAAGAGGAGTATTGATGATATATTGATATGCATTCTTTTATTTACTTTACCCATACGGCCTTTCACCTCTCTTCTAACAAATCAATTGCACATACAGCATAAAGCTTCTTTTCTGGGTCACAGGCTGCCATTCCCCGTTTAGTCCGAGAGCAGCTTTGAAGTCTGTCTTGTGACTGTCAGACTTGCCTATGCATGAGAATTTGTACTAAAGGACCTGATCTGAGGTCAGTCTAAAAAAATAAATAAAAAATACTGGAACCAAATGGCACCATTCATGACGCCAGTGAGCTAAAATTGGAATTGGAAGGATGTGCACCCTAACCAATTAACATATGACATGGTTGCAAATGTCTCAACGTTACTTCAATCAAAAACAGAAATTTTTTTAAAAATGTAAATAAAATAAACAACACTGTGTATTATAATTCCCTTTTGACCAGAGTAGAACAGAGAACAGAGCATGTAATAAATAATCAAAATTGTTAAAAAAAAAATTTTTATATTTTGTATATTTTATATAATTCCCCTAATCGATTAATATATTAATAAAAATATATTATATAAAATATAAATATTATGTATATATGTATATATATATATATATATATTAATGAAAATCATAATAACAATTTATAGAGTATAGAAAAACTATTTATACATTACATACTATTATTATTATTTTAAGACTATTTTGTGGAGGTGCTACTTAAACAACAGTGCATGTTATAAAAATTAAAAAATTATAATATTTTATAGTAATAATAATAATATGTCATTTATAAATAATAATATAGTTGAAATAAGACCAATTACTGTGGAGATGGGGAATATTCTCAGTAACTAAATGAATTATGAATAAACTGGAATCGTTAAGTGGAATCAGGATCAGAACTAAAATCATTAAATTCCTTATGATTCCCAACCATATTGATTTGTAATTTGTGTCCTTTCAGCTCATGCATCAAGAACAGACAACTTTCTTCTCTCTTGATCTCTCCTTCTCCATCTTTCCTTACATAATGAAAATATAAGAGTAAATAGTGCCATAAGGAAAGAGGCCCTGCTTGGGCACTGAGTAGGATTTAATTGACCATGTGGGGGCGTCAGAGTTGAACTCTGACCTAACTCCCATCAACCCTTGGGAGCGCCCTAAAATGATATAATGGACAGAAAGGTGGGCCAGCCACCCAGGCAAAAAAGGATGATACAAAGGGGCACAAATGTACATTCTATAATATCTGTATTAAATGTACCTCTTGACATTTCTCTGTAGACTTGCATGCGAGACTGTGTGGTTTCTCACACTCACCTATCGCTGATGGACAGCTCGTGTTTTGAGCCCGCTCAGCAGTCTGTCACTTGATTAGACTCCCCGCCATGGCTCTTCTTTCCTTCGTTGCCAATGTTCTCTCCCCCCCTCCGCTCATGCATATGGAGAAGCTTAATTAAAAAGGACAACAGCGCTGCCTTAAGATCTGTCTCAAAGCGACAACATAGACTGACACATGAGTACAACACAATGCAGGCCATTCGGTGTCCAGGGCAGCACTGAATGTGAAGGAGTGCCGGACAGGGGTTTTTGCGAGCCTTTGAAGGGGAAAACCAGATTTTTCAATTAGATCTCTCTTTTTTTGAAGATGAAATGTGTCATTTTTGTACATTTGGATGTTTAAATATTCTCTTCTATTATGGTTTAGTGCACAGACACAAATGCGCCAAAAATATCATGAGTTTTGCAGTTCTTTGTGGTGTAGAAATTATACGCTTCACCTTTAAGACACAAGCGTTCAAATCCAACTCTTCGTGAACACTTATCTAGGCTACTTAAAGGGATAGTTCATCCAAAAATAAATTTACTCACCCATATGGTTCCAAACCTGTATGACTTCTTTCTTTTTTGGAAAATAGATATTTTGAAGAATGCTGGCAACCAAACAATTTCGGTTCCCATTGTATGGACAAAAAATACAATGGAAGTCAATGGGAATCAAAACCATTTTGGTTATCAACATTCTTCAAAAAATCCTCTTTTATATCTTTATATATATGTGGGTAACCAAATAATTTTGGCTCCTATTGTCTTCCATTGTATGAACCAAAAAAAACAAAAAAAAAAGTCAATGTGAACTGCGAAACTGTTTGGTCACCAACATTCATACAGAAAAAAAAAATGTCAGTCATATAGGTTTGCAACAACATGAGGATGAGTAAATGATGACAGAATTTCATTATTTTTAGCGTGAACTTTATATTCTCCTTTATT